TGAATAAACCTTCTATAGACATATTTTCATATTTTTGTATAGATATGTTTTCAATTTCTTTGGGTAAATATCAAGGAGCTCAGTTGCTGGATCATCTGGTAAGACTATGTTTAGTTTTCTAAGGAACTCTCAAAGTGTCTCCAAGGTAGCTGAAATATTTTGCATTCCCACCATCAATAAATGAAAGTTCCTGTTGCTCCACATCCTCATCAGTGTTTGTTGTTATCAAATATATAGTGAAATCTCAGTGTTGTTTAGATTTGCATTTCCCTGATGATGTATGATGTGAATTATCTTTTTATGTGTTTATTTATCATGACCATATTTTCTGTGCTAAGGTGTTTGTTCAGGTTTTGTCCTACTCTTTATTTGGGTTGTTTCTTTACTGTTGAATTTTAGGAGTTCTTTGTATGTTTCTACAACAGTCTGTTATCAGGTATATCTTTTGCCAATATATTCTCCCTGTATTTGACCTTTTTATTCTCTTCCTGGTGTCTCACAAAGCAGAAACTTTTAATTTTAATAAAGCTCAGCTTATCAATTACTGCTTTCATCAATCATGAAAGAACTTAAAACAGAAGTAACATTCGACACAGGAATCCCTGTGTATATAATTACTGGGTATATATCCAAAAGAAAATAAATCATTCTATCAAAAAGACAAATGTACTCATATGTTGATTGAAGCATTATTCACAGTAACAAAAACATGGAATCAAATCAGATGCCCATCAACTGTGGATTGGATAAATAAAATGTGGTACATATACACCATGGAATACTTCAGAGAAAGAAAAATAAAGAAACCACGTCCTTTGCAGCAACAACAATGCAGTTGCAGACCATTATCTAAAGTGAATTAACACAGGAACAGAAAACCAAATACTGTATGTGCTTACTGATAAATGAGAGCTAAACATGCGGTACTCATAGACATAAAGATGACAAAAATAGACACTGGGGAACACAAAAGGGTGAAGGGAGAGAGGTGGGAAAATGTTGAACAACTAATTATTGGGTCCTATGCACACTACTTGAGTCACAGAATCAATTATACCACAAACCTCAGCATCATGCAATATACCCAGGTAACAAATCTGCACATATATCCCTTGAATCTAAAATAAAAATTCTAATTATATTTTTTAAAGTCATCATGAAGCCCAAAACCATTTGGATTTTCTCCTGTTATCTTCTAGAACTTTTGCAGTTTTGCATTCTACAATTATGTTTGTAATGCATCTTGAGATTTGTTTGAGTATGTTCGTGAAGGGTGTTAATTCTATGTCTAGATACATTTTTTTAAGGTAGATGTCTAGGTGTTCTAGCAACATCTGTTGAAAAGATTATCTTGTCTCCATTGTATCGTATTTGTTCCTTTTGTGACAGATCAGCTGACAATATTTATGTGGGCCTATTTCTGGTCTCTGTTATGTTCTATTTATCTATGTGTCTATTCTTTTTCCAGTACCACACCATTTTGATTATTGTAGCTTTAAAGTAAGTCTTAAAATCTAGCTATGTCAGTTCTCCGAGTTTGCTCTTCTACTTCAGTATCTTTTTGGCGTTAGGTTTTTTCCTTCTCCATGAAAATGTCATGATCACGCTAATGTCCAAAAAATAGCTGCTGCAATGTTGATCTGGATTCCATTGAACCAAAAAATCAAGTTGGGAAAAACTGATGTATTAACAATGTTTCATTTTCCTATTCATGAATATGGAATATATAGATTCTGTAGAACTATTTTAAGGTCTCAGTCTTTTACTGAGCCTTTTCTTCTGTACCGTGAGTCTTTTATGTGTTTCCCACTCTCCACTTCTGCGCCTTAGGTGGTGTGCTAGTTCATTTGCATTGCTATAAAGAAAATCCTGAGACTGGGTAATTTATAAAGAAAAAGGTTTATTTTGGCTCACAGTTCTAGAGGCTGTATAGGAAATATGGTGCTGGCATTGGCTTATGGTGAGAGACTTAAGAAGCTTACAATCATGGTAGAGCATGAGAGAAAACCAATGTGTCACATGGCGAGAGTGGGAGCAAGAGAGAGAGGCAGAGGTGTCAGGCTTTTTAAAACAATCACCTCTCACATGACCTCAATACTGCAGGGAGGGCACCAAACCATTCATGAGACATTCACTCCCATTGCCCAAACACCTCCCACTGGGCCCGACCTCTAACATCGGGGATTGTATTTCAACATGAGATTTGGAAGGACAAACATCCAAACACTGTCAGTTGGACAGGATGACTAGTGTGAGCTGGAGTTGGGAGTTTCCCTTCCACCAAACCAGTTAGAATCTGATAAAAACCCTGCACAGTAGACTCTGGTAAAATAGTTTCTCTTGAGGGCAGACCTTATTAAGAAGAACAGAGTGATCTGTCTTATTTCAAAATAGTTTATTTTCTTCTTCCTTGGACAGAAGCACAAGGGAAGTTTTCTTCACTATTTATTATGAAAGCCTGGTTGAGCTCCTGGGCATACATTTCACAAAAGTGTGGAGATTCCTCTGAAGGTTTTAAAGCTCAGAATTTTCCACATTGAGCCCCCAGCAATTCATCAATTGCAGGTAAGTCTTTCCTACACTGACACTGGTTCCTTTGGAAGTTTCAGCTCTTAGATTTCTGCACCAGTAACTTGAAATTTTCCTTATCTATCTGTCTCTTTCATTTTTGAGGGAGTGGTTTTCCACTTGACCTGAATTCTCTTACAAATCTGAGGAGAGCTGTTTATTTTTGAGTTTGTTCAGCTATTTACTTATTTTTGGGATGGAGTGGTGACTTTCAAGCTCCTTACATGCAAACCAGGACCTAGAAGTCCATCAATCATCTTTTAAGGTCTAAATTTGACATGGTTTTCATTTGTGTTCCTACTCAAATCTCATCTTGAATTGTAATCCCCAGTATGGGAGGAGGGGCCTGGTGGGAGATGATTGGATCATGGGGGTGTATTTCTTCCTTACTGTTCTCATGACAGTGAGTGAGTTCTCATAAGATCTGGTTGTTTGAAAGTGTGTGGCACCTCCCCCGTCTCTCTCTTCCTCCTACTCCAGCCATGTAAGATGTACCTGCTTCCCCTTCATCTCCTGCCATTATTGTAAGTTCCCTGAGGCCTCTCCAGAAGCAGAAGCCTATACAACCTGGAAAACTGGAAGTCAATTAAACGTCTTTTCTTTATAAATTACCCGGTTTCAGGTATTTCTTTATAGTAATGCAAGAAGGGACTAATACAAAGTTCTTATTTTAGAAGAGTGAGATGAGGCAATTATTTACTTAGTGATGAATATAAAGCAACTTCTTAATGCAACAGATTATTTTATCTTTCAATTAATTAATAGCTGCAAGGCACTTATTTTATTTGATTAGCACCCATTCTTGTTTTCCCTTAATGAGCATATCTGAGAATTTGACAGGCTTGTAGAATTGACATGAACTTTGAACTGTTGATCTATATATTTTTTTCATACGAAATTTTATGATGATACCTATCACCTTTGGCCCATCACTATGTATGTAATGTAAGTGTGGAATATTGTCATATCTTTCAAATGAACAATTCTAATTGGGAGCAGGATGGTCTAAGACTGGGGTACTAGACAAAAGAAAAAGAAAAGAGTGCCCTAGTTTATAATCTGGGTGTTAAAACTTACAATGTATGAAGACAAGCAGCAGCAACACCAACAATCCAAGGGTGAAGGTTTATCTAACGTATAGGATCAAAAGCATGAGAAGTGGCTGATACTTATGTGTACAGAGGGAAACAAATTTGGGAGACAAACTTGATAGGCACATATCATGAAGATTCTGATTTACCTGTAGCTTTCAACTATATGAGGAATAGCAGCTTAAGGGTCACTGGACCACATCTGTTCTTTGCTGCACCTTGTCCATTATGTGTAATTTGAAATAGCTGGGTTTTTCTAGAAAACTTAAAATTGATTTTCACAAACACTGTGGTCAAATCGCTTTAGATGTTGGGAAAACTTCTCTTAAGCCTCAAGAATATGTTCTTATCTTCTTACCTAGGAAAACCTTGCTCTCTAGTCTCAAGGAAGAGTAACACAAAATCAAAGGAGAGATTCTAAGAAATGATGATATTGGGGGTTGGCATTTGAAATTGATTAGATTCCTTGGTTCTTTGGGATTCCACCATAGGCAGCAGGACAATAGTCATTGAGCAATTGCTATGACATAAGTAATGTGCGAAATGTTTTAAATGAAAAGCTCTTTTAATTCTCTCAGAGAACTAATGAAGGAGAGCCCAGAAATGAAACTAGTAGTTTCTAGTTTCATTTCATACATTACCAAACTCAGACTTTGAGATATCTTCCTAGAATCAAGATTTTCCTCAAAGAGTAAGAATCCAGAGCTGAGTCAATATTCTACAATATTATATGGTTGGCTACTTGGTTACCTGATATTTCTGGGAATTTTGATTTAAAAGTCTGTAAAAGATTCTGATAGGACACAGAGCTTTAAACTGCTTCTCATTCCTTCATCCAAACTCCTATTTCATAAGGTGCTACCTGCTTCCTTTGCCTTTTCTGACACCCAAGTTTCTTATGTGACATGGTACCCAGGAGTTCTGAAGGGCATTTCACATTTTCAAGCAATACTCTGTCTGTTAGACAACCTGCAAAGTACACCTCCAAGGTAGTTCACATTTTAAATATTAGATTATATATTTTTATGACATTATGTCTTTATAAGAATGCCACAAAAATAGGAAATGAGGTTGGTGATATAGTTACATTCCAAGGTTTGAAAAATTGTACCTCATTTAATGGGTGCACAAACCCCATTAGTAGTTCATTGTGGTTAGCTAAGAATGAAATTAAAATGTTATATCTTCTTTCAATTCATATGCATTTTTTTAAAAAATGGCCATCAAGTCCTTAGGACAAAAGTACAGTACTTATTCGGTTATTTGAGCCTAACTCTGCAGTAATCTGCATTTTTATGTCTTTCTTTTGGCATAGGGGCACCATGAGATTTCTGACAAAGGGCATTAAAACTGAGAAAGTTTGGGAACCTCTGAAAGCCACTCTGAGTTTCCTGAGGTAGGTGACTGTAAGTTCAAACTCAGGGCCCCAAGTGTCAAGTTATATTAATAGAGAATTAACTGTTTTTTGTTTGTTTGTTTTACTTTTTATGTATTTACCTTTTTTGAGACTTACACATAAGCCCACAAGTCTTCATGAGTGGCGACCAAAGGGCATATGTCACAACAGAGCAAACCTTGGTCAGTAGTAAGTGGCAGGTGGGATGGGGACATGTAGGTCGATTCCTGCTCATTTATCTCTTTTCTGGATCACTTTTTTTTTTTTGGTAGTCCTTTGAGATAAAGTTCTGCAGATCACATAAGCACATGCAGTAATAGAATGGCTGTGTCTTCTTTAAGCTCTCAGCTTCCTAGCTTTCCTTGACTCGGTTCTCATTCTCATCATCATTACTGTCCTGGTTTTTAATTTTATCAATACAATGTCAGAACTGTAAAATTTTCTCCAGTTCCAATTTCTAAATAAGCCAGACTAACACGGTACCATCATCTACCTCAACCAACAAAAGCATTAATTGATAGTTACGTAAATTAATCCATAGCCATTTGACTATAGGTCCTCAAAAATATATAGATTAAAAAAAGGAGTTTGAATATTGAAAAACGAAATATCATTTCCTGGAATCTTTCCTAAAATGTCCACACATGAGCACACTGACAAATTTTAGTAGTATTAAGCTATGTTCTTAGATATTTCCATTTTATTTTCCTGAAAATCTTGGCAATATAGTCACTATTTGGCTATTTGGTTTAAAATTAGTCAGTTATCAAAATAATCAAGTAAATCAAAGTTAGAGTTATTTTGCCCATCTGATGTTACAAATGAGTCATATTTTAGTCTTGTCAGTATCAGAAATGTCCAATAGAATCAAAGCAGGAAAGCACCTAGCCTTTGTTATGTGTCCAGTTCGGATACCAATGGAAGCACTACAAGTATGTTATTACATTTGATATTCACGTGTCACTTATGAAATAGGTACTGCTACTCCTGTTTTATAGAGGACTGCACTGATATCAGAGTTGGTAAGTTGCATGATCTCTCAACTAAAAAATGAGCAATTTGGTTTTATAGCTGGGTTCATCTATTTCAAAACAGGTTAAAAAATTAGCACTTTGGGGGGTTATCAAAAAGTTACACACTTTAAATTGCTAATAATCTGCTTACACAATGGTTTCTAATAGTGAACTTCAAATGATAAATTAGCTCATTCATTAAATGGGGGTTTGTTCTGCCACAGAGGGCAAAAAAGATACAGATGCCTCTCCTTATTCATTGCTCCCACAACGTTTCTTCACACTGAGCATCCCCACTGACTTCTGAGACACTGAACACTGAAAGCAGTAAAAGGACATGATCAGATCTTGCTTTGCCCCCTGTTGGGCTCATCTGAACTCCCTTGAAACTCCTGGGGATTCAATATGAGCTCAGAGTTCAGTTCAACTTCGCTAAGAGAAAGAATGTGCTAAGAATTTGGATCCCATAAAGGGTTCTTTCCCTATGTCTTCCCATTAGTGTTCATTTACTTAAAAGTTTGAAGTCAATATTTTTGAGTTTGAATCTTCAATCATCAGTCAATCTCTTTTTTCTTTTCTTTAATCTAAACACCCGTCTGAACTGACGTGCTGTTGCAATAGCATCTATCCCCAATTCTTTCAGAAATCTATTTGGTTAATGATTCTGATTCAAAAGTCATACTGTTAACAACTACTGATATTTTCCTTTTCACATCTCAGCTTTCAGAAGTATTTAAATAAAATGCTTTGATTTCCCAAATGACAATAAAAATTCCCTTTACAAATATCAACTGAATTTTCAGAATTTTGTCAGCTGACCTATTGTGATGTATATCATCAAAGTCATTAACACAGTGTTTGAAGTTCATACTCTTTGGGTTGTCAAAGGTGTCAAAATGGGATTTTTGTAGATAACATTCAATAAACTGACACACATTCCTTTTGATTATCATATAAATCACATTGACCATCCTCTATAAGAGCTATATGCTGTCACTGCTCCTCTCTCATATTATTTTTTTCCTAACTATAAGTCTTCCCTTTTCTGCCTTTGATTTCTGGATATGATGACACCAAGACAAAACAGATTATTCTCGTGATTAGCACATTGATAAATAGTAGCTATCACAAGTTTCATGAATGAATTAGCTGCTCTATGTATGCACATATGTCTTGATGATTATCATGTCTACTGTTATTCCTTTCTTTCACTTATTTTCTCCTCAAACATAGACGTTGTGCAGGAAGGAACCAGCAAGGAGGATGAATGTATTTTTTAATAGCAAAACAGCCTAATAGGAAAACAGCATGAATTTAAACCAAATTGAAAACTTACCCTTACCACCTCTACCTTGCAGAATTTCATTAACAAAAATTATCTACAGGACTTAAAAGAGAAGTGATATTACTGAAACTAACACTACATGTTTGAGGCTCTTCAAAACATATGTCTGCTGAGATGTGGTCAACGTGATTGTCAGGCCATTGAGGAAGTAAAGGAATAACAAGGAAAGAAAACACAGAGTGTGGGATCATGGAGACCTTGGAATTTATCCCTTGTGGTATTCTTCCAAGGATTCCAGAGTCCCTAGTGACCTCAGGAGTATGTGCAGTTTTCTATAACACTGAAAACATTAAGAATAAAGAGAAGTTTAAGCAAATTCACAAGAAAAAAAAAACCATTAAAAAGTGAGCAAAGGATATGAACACTTCTCAAAAAAAAGACATACATGCGGCCAAAAAACATACAAAAATAGCTCAACATCACTGATGATCGGAGAATGCAAATCAAAACCACAATGAGATACCATCTCATTCCAGTCAGAACGGCAATTATTAAAAAGTCAAGAAACAACAGATGCTGGTGATGTTGCGGATGAATAGAAACGCTTTTATACTGTTGGTGGAAATATAAATTAGTTCAACCTTTGTGGAAGATAGTGTGGTGATTCCTCAAATATTTAAAACCAGAAATACCATTTGACCCAGCAATCCCATCACTGGGTATGTACTCAAAGAAATATAAATCATTCTATTATAAAGATACATGCACGCATATGTTCATTGCAGTGCTATTCCCAATAGCAAAGATGTGGAACCAGCCCAGTCAGTCAATAATAGATTGGCTAAAGAAAATGTGGTACATATACACAACGGTATGCTCTGCAGCCATAAAAAGGAATGAGATCATATCCTTTGAAGGGACATAGATAAAGCTGGAATACATTATCCTCAACATACTAATGCAGGAACAGCAAGCCAATCATTGCATGTTCTCACTTATGAGTGGGGGCTGAACAATGAGAACACATGGACAAACGGAGGGGAACAACTCTTACTGGGGCCTGTCAGGGGTGGGTGGTCGGGGGAGAGCATTAAGGAAAGAGCTGATACATGCTGGGCTTAATACCTCGGTGATGGGTTGATAGGTGCAGCAAACCATCATGACACACGTTTACCTATGTAACAAACCTGCACATCCTGCACATGTACCCCGAAACTTAAAAAAATCCATAAATAAATAAATTTGAAAAAACAGGAATAAATATTTCAGATCATACTACCAGGTTTCAACCTTACCTTTACCACTGTCTAGATCTGTAAAATGAAGTAAGTTACTCTGTTTTTGAAACTCAATTTTCTCATCTAATAGTGAAAATAACAATAACTCAGAGGTTTATTTAGAGTATTAAATGAAAAGATACATTTGAAATTATTAGTCTATTGAAAGCAACATATTTTGCACTCAGTAAATGTAAGCCTTTTATTATTGTTTTTGTAAATCAGTTTATATTTACATGCCTTTCTATTATTGACTCTTTCTGTTGCTGTGTTTTTCTTCTTTCTGTGACTCCAACGAACAGAATGGTTCAGGGAAAATAAATAAATATTTTTCACTGAATTTCTCATGTTCCCCATAAAGGAGTCCTCGCAGGCAGACTTTGTGTACAAGTCACCTTGTAAGCTTACAATCTGTTTGCCCCACCTTCTGCCTTCGTTACATTATGAAACATGCTCCGCTGAACTGAAGCCATGCTCATAGAGCCACATGGCAGAAAGCATTGTCTCCTGTGTATCAGGTATTGCCTCTGATTATTTCTCTCAGGAGAAAGGACCCAAAATTGGAACTTCACAGATGCCTCCATAACGCAGTCATCAATCCTATTGGATGACAAATATAATTACTGCAGACATTCAACACACTGATTATATTAATGATAAGTTATACAGCCTTCTTCCAGTACTTTTTGTGAAGCCTTACTTAAAACATTTCATCTTAAAAAAAAAAAAAAAGCCAAGATCTATGGGGCATATCCTCAATGGGTTTTGAAGAGGGAGCCCTGGAGGAAACTAATGGTGTAGAAGGAGAAAATGTTACCAAAGATAAAAGTTAGTCTCCCCAAAGGAAACAAACAAACATACAAGCAAAAATGGTCTAGAGCAGAGCCCAAAGTGACCTTTATACAAACAGTCAAGTCAATCTATCAATCAGTGGCTCTCCTGGGACCAGATGAATACCAGGCTAAATATTTGATGACAGACAAAGACTGTGTGTGTGTGTGTGTGTGTGTGTGTGTGTGTGTGTGTGTGTGTGTGTGTGTGTGAAGGTGATAAAAATGGGTAAAAGGAAAGTTTTCCTGTCGTGTTATCCCTAAAAAATTACTATAGAGCCCAATTACTTTAGACCCTATATTTGTTGGAGAGTATCTATAAAATCATTTTTTAATATAGAAAAAAAAATCTAGCATCCAGGAACTAAGACAAAGACTGAGCATCACATATTGCAAGTAAAAATGAATATCACCCTATCACATACCTAACTCCAAATTTCCCTTACTTGCCTCAGATTGATTTCATTGTCTTTCTATTTCTGTTCATCAAGAATTTTGTAGTTACAAACATCAGGTAAACATGGAGATAGAAAGATAATCATGCATTATTTCTTAAGTCACCAGTAATGTAAAGAAGGGCAGACTTGTAATGATT